TGTTGTCCCTAAGTAATTTGATGTGGATCATTATTAATATTATTATTAGTGTTTGGACACATGGTGGCAGTAATTAGACATAGGATGTATATATATAGAGGGCACAGGTGACAGGAAGAGGAGGGCACAGGTACGGGGAGAGCCAACAGTTCTCACCAGATCAGCAGCAGACTAGCATCAAACCAGCACAGATACCAGATTCACTATCGGAAACCGCTGTCTTATCATTTCGTGCGTACCATCAAATCAACATCTACTAAAGGCAAGTATATGGACTGGAGATTCTGTTTTCTGATCTGTGTCGGTTCACTCTGCTCCACCTGTGTACTAATGGCAATTACAGGACATTGAAAAACTGCTATTACACTCATGTTTAGCAAATAGAAATAATTTATGTAATCCTAACTGACCTAAAACAGGAAAAGTTTAGTTACATTTAATGAAGATAAACAAAAAACTATGTGACCCAGGCCAGAAAATCTGCTGGAAAAAGACTTGAAATAATGGCATGATTGTACTGTACTGTAAAGCACTTTGAGTGCTGCTAAGGTAGAAAAGCGCTATATAAGTGCAGTCCATTTACCATTTACCATTACAGTAGCTGTTTGTAGGCGTGACCAGACAGAACAGCTTGCTGATAAAGTCGTCGTGCCAGTGAGCTGACGCTGTACTGTCTGTTGTGCATCAATATTTAACTCAAGTTAATTAGTAATCAAAACCAACCACTAGCCAACATAATATAATAATCTTTATTATATTATAAAGTCCAGGTTACAAGGTGTTTTTCAAATCAGCGAACACAAACCATAAAACGATGCTTATTGATTTGCGCTGAATGCTACTAAACACCTGCAGTGTCACAATCAGACTTGATCAAGAGAAGTTACAGGAGCTTTGTCTGAGTTTTGAGATGCAACTGTTATGTATGGGGAATGTGGCCATTTCTGCAATCTGATTGGGACTGCTTTTTTTTTTCTTTTCTTCTGAAAACAATGAATTGATACTTATTGATTTGAACTGAATGCACCAAACGACCTTGTCTGAGTTTTGAGATGCAACTGTTTCAACAAGTATGCTGAGCCAATAAACTCATGCATCAACCTGCTTTTCACAGGCAGGATGAATTTGGAAGAGTACTTCAAAAAAATTGGTTTCCACGGCTCCTATGATAAACCAGATCTGGCAACACTGAAGGTGATCCACAAGCTGCACATCATGGCGATCCCATTTGAGAACCTCAGCATTCACTGTGGTGAGAAGATCACCATGGACCTTGAGGTGATCTTCAATAAGGTGGTGAGGAGCAGCCGTGGAGGTTGGTGCCTTGAGAACAACTATCTGTTCAACTGGGTGCTGAGAGAAATGGGCTATGAGACGACGATGCTGGGCTCCAGAGTTTTCAACAGAGTCATCAATGAGTTTTTGCCCCTCCACTCTCATCTCATCAACAAGGTCGTCATCGATGGGAAGGCTTATACAACGGATGTGAGTTTTGGGTTGTCCTTCCAAATTTGGGAGCCCCTGGAGCTCATCTCTGGGAAAGACCAACCACAGGCAGCGGGTGTCTTTCGTCTCCTAGACAAAGGAGACGTCTGGGTGCTGGAAAAGACTGCTAGAAAACCACTGGTTGTCAATCCAGAATTTGCCAAATCAAGTCTGGTGAACAGGAAGGACACAAAGCAGATCTACTGCTTCACACTGCAGCCTCGCCAGGCTGAACATTTCTTTGATAACAGCCAAAAACTCCAAACAGATCCTGCGTCACTGTTCACTAATAAGTCCATCTGCTCTTTGCAAACAGCCACAGGATTCAAGGCTCTGATTGGCTGGACCTACAGTGAGGTCACCTACAAACCTGAGGAAGGTGTTGACGTCTTAGACATGAGGGACGTAACAGATGATGAGATAGAACTAATTCTGAGGGACAAGTTCAATATAAAGCTGCAGAACAAACTAAAGCCTGTGTGCAACAAATCGTTTTACACACTCTGAAAAAAACCTCACACACACACCATGATTTTGGGTTGAAGCTTGTCTTAAGAGACCATATCTATGAACAACTCAGAAAAAAACTTAAGATCCAGGTTGTCTACTCACCTGTATAATATTGTGACACTTAGATATTAGATGCATTAACTTTTTCATGCATATTAGGCACATTTAATGTATTTGTGCATTTTTATTTGTGCCAGTAGGTTTGTTTATCAAGTGATCACTTCATTCCTCACGATAAGGGAGAAGGGAGCCTCTCTACCTCCACAAAGGCAATTCTTAGTACAGATCAACATGTGTTAGACACGAGAACCTAAACGATGATGTTCATCTGACTACATACTTTGTGTGGAAAGCTTCTGCTTAAGTCTTATGATGAACTTTAACTGTCTTGACCTCAAGTACTGGACATTTTGAGCAGACGAATGTAATTGTAATTGTCTCCGGCACAGTTAATGCCCATACTTCCAAAAAAAAATCTGGGATCCATGTCTGAAAGCAGACTGCAAAAGTCATGTTTGATGCCATCCTCAGCTGGAACAGGCATGATGACCAACTTGTCCAGTCTTGTGTTCTGCAGCTCAGGAGACTAAAATCAGAGTTCACATTAACTACAGCACCAAAGACAGAGAGCCTGTTATTCCCATTATCCCTTTTCTTTGTTGGCATCCACTGGATTTTAGAATGGATTTTAAGATATTTCTAACTTTTATGGCTGGATTCACACTCAACTTCACTCCAGCTCTTTAAAAATAACTGGAGGTCTTCAGCTAAGACTCTGGTAGCTTTTCCACAATGTTGGCTGCAGACAAATTTCCTTGAAGAGATCAGACTGGTAAAGTTATTATCCTCTTTTAATTCACTTTAAAAACCTGTTTTTCTAAATGTACATTGGTAGGGTTTGGATTGAAATGATTAGGTAACATCTTAAAAACTATTTGCTATTACAGCCTTCTTTTAAATATTTAAAAGTTTGCTGAAAATTTCAGGTATTTTGTATTGCTTTGCTTTTTTCACTCCGACTTCATATGCAGTTTCTTCTCAACTATTACATTTTTTTTGTTTTGTTTTTAGCATTTTTTATGTAATTTTTTAAAAAAACAATTTGTCCTTCAAACACTTTGTTTTTGAAAAATATAAATTATAAATAAAGTTTGATAATACTGTCACTGTAATTTCTGCATGGAGCGTTCTTGCTGATTTTAACTGAGGATGGTGGGTGAAACTCATCGTTCATGACGGCCCACCAGTTCTATTTATACAGAACCTGTACATATGTTTCCATAGTAGTACACTTTGTGTGTGCATTTTGCCCGACTGCAGGCCGTCACACTCTTGTTAATGGCTGCACAAAATAAGTCATACCTGGGTATATCTGTCTGTGTTATGCAGACTTGACATCAATCAACATACACATGACACCAAGGCAGGCAAACTTGGCATCACAAACCTCAGTTAAACAGACATCAATATGAGGCAAACGAGACTGTCAAACAAATGCACTTCACCGTCACGTGCATATGAATGAATAAACTTTTTAAAACAGTCAGAACCCTTCGATTACAATACCTACCTCAGAGTCACAAAGGAGCTCATGTGGCACTCAAGCTTTGACATAATGGTGGCCATGTTGCCACAGCTGCTTTAAATAACCTCAGTCAGGGGCGTGGCCATGGGAGGAGTTGATCCAATTCACTGGTGGTGTGTTCAAGAGCTATCTGGAAATGTTAAATGTGCCCGGATGCAAATGTTCACACTACACTGCAATGAAAATAAAATAATAAAGAAAAAATCTGTTAAGCTTTGAGGCAGCTGAAATTGCTCTGCAAACCCTGTAATCTAATGCATTAACCCGCATACTACAGACTGGATGAATTTGGAAGAGTACTTCAAAAGAATTGGTTTTCATGGCTCCTCTGGTAAACTGGATCTTTGAACAGTTCAGTGTAAAGCTGCAGAATAACTTGCAGTCAATAAACAAAAAACTATGTGACCCAGTCCAGAAAGCTGTTTTGGAACAGACTTGAAATAAAGCCATGACAGTAGCTGGTCGTAGGAGTGACCAGACAGAACAGCTTGCTGATAAAGTAGTCGTGCCAGTGAGCCGACGCTGTACTGTCCGCTGTGCATTAATATTTAACTCAAGTTAATTAGCAATCAAAACCAACCACTAGCCAACATAATTTAATAATCTTTATCTAGAGAACACTTTTCAAAGTCCAGGTTACAAGTTGTTTTTCAAGGCAGCATAATAAAACAGAAAAGTCATAAAATCATCAGATATAAAGACATAAAAGCACAACATGATGTCCTTAGCTGACCTGATCCTTTCTTGTTCAGGCAGGTTCAAAGGTCGTTACAGAATCCAAATATGCTGAAATAAAAAGATTGTTAAATAGCCTCGCTGTCTTTAAAACTTGAAGTCGACCGTGTTTTTGAAATATGTCTAAGATGGTAAAAACATGACTGCTCAAGCTTAGTGATGAGCTGCTCAAAACTCAGATTACAGTCAAACCAGACACCAAGGTTTTTAAGCACAGGCCTGACATGATCTAAAAGTGAGCCAGCTGATGTCAGAATTTGTTTGGCCATGTGCTGCTGTCCAGTAATAAGAACTTCAGTTTTGTTTGAATTCAGAGGATCCAGAGAGCATGTGCATCAGTGTATGATCAGTATGAAAATAAAAACATATAACTGACCCCTGTGGCACACCACATTTAACAAATGAGAATGAAGATACAGAAGTTTACATATGCTGTATAAAAAGACACATAACTTTATTATTTCCATTTGCTAAATGCCAGAATAATGAGAGAGAGAATTTTTTTTTTTGAGAATTTGTTATTATTTTCTTCAAAGTCAGAAGTTTACAACCATCTCCTTAGTATTTGGTAGCATTGCCTTTAAACTGACTTGGTTCAAACATTTTGGGTATCCTTCCACAAGCTTCTCACAATAGTTTGCTGGAATTTTGGCCCATTCCTCCTGAGAGAAAGAGAATTTCTCTTCTGGTACCTGACTCAGCTACACCAGTTCTGTCAGGAGGAATGGGCCAAGGTTCTAGCAAACTACTGTGAGAAGCTTGTGGAAGGATATCCAAAACGTTTGACCCAAGTCATACAGTTTAAAGGCAATGCTACCAAATACTAAGGAAATGGTTGTAAACTTCTGACTTCCATCCATCCATCTATGCACCGCTTAATCCTCAGTAGGGTCGTGGGGGAGCTGGAGTCTATCCCAGCTGACTCAGGGTGAAGCAGGGGACACTCTGGACAGGTCACCAGTCTATCACAGGGCTACACTTAGAGACAGACAACCAAGCACACTCACATTCACATGTACGGACAATTTAAAATCACCAATTAACCTCAACATGTTTTTGGACTGTGTGGGAGGAAGCCGGAGAACCCGGGGAGAACATGCAAACTCCACGTAGAAAGATCCCAAGTGTCCTCACCGTGCTGCGAACCGACGACCTTCTAGCTGCAAGGCAACAGTGCTAACCAACGAGCCACCTTGCAGCCCCCTTCTGACTTTGACTAAATTGTCCGTAGGTGTGAATGTGAGTGTGCTTGGTTGTCTGTCTC